ATTTTGATGCTTCTTGTTGTAGTCTGCCACAAAAATTAGGTGCAAGAATGCCTCTTCCCCTTCCAGACGATGGTCTAGCTGCAGTAGCCATGTTTGACAACTTTGAATTTTTCACCGAATGAGGGCCTTTTATGTCTTTTTCCATGTTCGAGCCATGAACTTCAGTTTTTTCATTTGACTTTTTGTTACCACTGGGTGGGTTGCCTTTGCTTACATTTGGATGATTACTGTTGTTGTTGGAAGGGAGCCCTTCCTTGATGTCGACGGGTATATCTTCACGGTGCTTATTGTTCTCCACGTTTGGACCAACTCCTTCACCCGAGGACTCAATATTATCACTATTTTCGCCGCTCGTGTTGGACCTTTTCGCTAAAGGAGAGCATCCTAAGCCTTTTTCTTTGTTGGAGCCGTGGAGGTCAGTTTCTACATTTGTCGTTTCGTTGCTATTGGGCGGGTTGTCTATGCTTCCATCTGGAGTGTTTCTGTTGTTAGAAGGGTGCACTTTCTTGTGACTATCGGGCATATGTTCACTTGGTTTGTCGCTTTCCACATTTGGATCGGTTCCCTCATTTGGTGACTCGACATTGGAATTGTCTTCCCCGCTCTTCTTGGATTGTTCCTCAGCTGAATCTTTAAATGAAGAAAAGGAAGGATGTTTTACAGGGACGTTTAAGGCGGAAGAAACTTCTTGTTGCTCATTAGATGTACGTAGACGGTGTTCCGGCTGTGGTGAGGTTGTTGATGACGTTTCTTGAGAAGTGTAGCGTTTCACAAACTCTTCACGGAAGACACTGATTGTTTGGTCGTCAATGATAACAACACGCACGTCACGGAGAGTGCTGAATTCGGCGTCAGTCATGGAGCTAAATTCCTCGATTGCTTTGAACATCACTTGGGCGCAAATGCTTTTTGGCATGCCGAAAATACCTGAGCTTATTGCTGGAAGGGCAATGGAAGAAAGTTTCAACTTTGCTGCAAGACAGAGGCTTTCCATGCATGCTCGTTGAAGAAGCGAAATGCTCCTTTGTCTGTTATGGTCATTCCATCTCGGACCAACCGTGTGTATGACATATCGACAAGAGAGATTGCCACCCTTGGTATATACAGCATCGCCTACGTTAAGCGGCCGCCTATTTCTGTTTAATATTATTCGCATGG